ATGAAATAAATTTTTATCTATTCATATTCATGTAATTAAGCGTTTTAATGATTTGGCAGATTAATCGAAAAAATAATCAACAGATTAATCGATTATTAAAATAATCGTTAATTGCAGCCCTAGTTCCCACAGTGGGGAAATTAGCACATTTCAGCAGCTCAAAACAGGAGAGGGTGAGATAGTGTAAGAAAAATACGTGTTCGATACGACTGAAGTCAAGATGAAAACACAATTGTTAAATAAAATGATTTGTGGTACGAATAAAATCATACAACACAACAATTCTGAAAACCGAGTGAGGTTTAATTGTCACCGGGCTGACAAGGAAAACCACACTGGCCAAAAGCCAGGAAGTACATCTTTTATACATGATTCTTCAATGCCTGAGTTCACCCCCTACTGACCTACGGCTAATCACAGGCATTCATCCAAAAATCTCAACCTAATGTTATCATAACGGTTCACTTATGTGTTGTTTATGATTCGGACATGTAACCACTCTATCAATTAACACATAATAGATTAATAATAGATCAAACATTATAAAAAGGAAACCCTAATAATCTAGTTTTGTGCTTCTAACATCAGTACTAATCTATAATAACTATAAATTTCTTCAGTAGAATAGAGAAAGAAGTCAAAGAAGAACAAAAAAACACTATACTCGTACAATGCACATATACCTAGTACAGTAAATAAATGAATGTATATGAAGATGCATATTAGTGATGGCAGTGTTGGTGAATTGTTCAAGTGACATTCTGATCCTACCACCTTTCTTTTAAAGTAAATGACTAGAATGGATCAGAAAGTACAAGAAAAGGCTGTATCTAAAATTCAGATAATCAGTCAAAAAATAAATGTTTCACAGTAACAAAGTGATCGGTGCAAATTCTTGGCTGTCAGACAGGACGTCTTTCACACTCGGTGCGGAGTTGCAAAGTTTGTTTGCCTTCTTGATTTCTCAATTTTGTGATATAATGAAAACTTTGCCTTACTCTTTTATCTGCTTTGTTTGCACACCCTTTAACCCAACAGTGCACAACTATTATTGATCTGTCACACATTCACTGAAGCGGAAAGTTAATTTCGGATTGCTTATCATACTAGGATGGTGGATAAATGCCCTGTAGCAAGTGCAAGTGTGACATCTGTTGTGAAGTGTGTATTCTGCATCTGGGCCCATCTTTATAAAACTTCTTAGAGTGGATTTTTAGACTTGAGTGCTGAAAATTTCTTAGATTTGCTCCTACTCTCAGACTTAAGTGTAAGTGTCAGTTATCAAAATTCTTAAGTCTAAGAATCACTCTTACTTTCAAGAAAAGTTAAGACTGCTCCAGAGGACTCTTACGTGGTTAAGAGTTGCCACTAGGGGTCTGAAATGAACCGAAATCAGAGATCACACAGAGAACACAGCTTTCCTCCTCCTTACCTGAGAGTTATTCTCAGTTATAAGATGTGGAAAATAGGTTTAGTCAAAAATACAAAAGAAAGAAGTAAAAAAATAAATAAATAAGGGGCGCGCTCCTCTCAGACCAAGCTGTTAATGACGGAGCTGGGTTGTGTGTGTGAAGCCGGTGTTGTCTGTAGATAGTGGCGAAGAGGAGGAGAGAGCTGCTCAACATTACCTCAGGCTCTGAGACATAAAACTTTGAAGCTGCTGAGTTTTTGATAAAAAAAAAAACTGTTTTCATGATGCAAATGAGGACATTTTATGTAATTTACAGACAGTCAGTTCAAGGTGACAACATAGTGTGTTGAAAGTGAACTTATCTTAGGATTTTCATAGTTTAATCTTGCCATTTCGCCAAAAACATTCTTCACATGTAATCCAAGGCAGTGATTGGTCCATGTCGGGGGGTTTTCTAACGACGTCATCCAGGATCAGCTTTGCGGCACGGACAATTGTCGCAAATCAGCTCTAAGACTGACACTTAAAAATTACTCCTACACAGCTTAAAGTAAGACTGACACTTCAGAATTACTCCCACTCTTCACTTAAAGTAAGACTGACACTTAAGAATTACTCCCACTCTTCACTTAAAGTAAGACTGACACTTAAGAATTACTCC